GTCGCAGCAGTGCCAGTCGTTATCGATCAATCGATCGGTATAGAAACACCGTGTGCCTGTGCACTACCGCAAATGCGCAGATGTAATCCAACCAGAGCACTGCAGCCCGGCAAATTGGCGGAGGTGTCCGAGCGCATACCGATTGCATGTCTCAATCCCTTATCACCCCTGCGAATAAGCTTTCCCTTTGCACGCTCCGGCGCATCGGTTTGCATTTTCTGCTCTCGCGAGTATAGGTAGTAAATGCCGTATGCGCTCCCAAGACCTTTGTGTCCTGTTGGCTGGGCTCGAGTTCACACTGGTTTGGAAATTGGACAGAATACCGTGCGAGCCCGAAAAGAAAACGCGCCTAACTGTGCCCAGCACTAAAATCGCACGCAGTGTCTCTTTTTTTTTTTTTTTTTTTCGTTGTCGCCGGAAACGCGCGCATCCGGCTGGTTCTTTCGTTTTGTCTCTTATCTATCGGGGCACTCAAGAGATGGCGGAAGAGGAGACTGAGCTACGGGGGTGAGAACGCGTGTGTGCGCGCGGCTGCGCGTAAACAGTGGACGTGTAGCGGTACTTACTCTCTCTGTCACGATAGCGCGTGTACCATATAATATATATTATATACATACATGCGAATGGGGAGTTGTTGCATGCCGCTTGTGCGTATAAAAAGGTACCTATTTGCGGGATGCCGCGCGTCTTTGGGAAACTCCACACGAAAGCGCCAACGCGGATATTCCAACGGGTCGTCTATACGGTCAGAGAATTTCTTGTTCCTCCTCGATTCGCGATTGTTACCGCGCTGTAACGCAAAAACCACAATCTCGTCGCAGGTTGCTTCTATCAGCGCTGTCTTTCTATCCTTTTTTTCATTAATTGTTGAAAGTCAAGGGTGTATGTCCGATAGTTATCAACGAGGAGATAAAAGTTATATGATTTTGAGAAGCCACTCGAGGTGATACTTGCATGAAATCAAGATGAGAGTATTGTGCGGGTGAAAGCTTTCAAGGCACGTATGTATGACGGTATACGGGCAAAGCAAGTATAATATATACGCGTAACGAAACTAACGTCGTTGCGATGGAAAATATTGTTCAGCCGAGGTATTTTCCAACGAGGCGCACATTATACGTATGTATGTATATTCAAATGCATCGGGAGAAGCGAGACGCGCGTGTAAATACTGTAAATGCGCGCACAATGGAATGGATGAGCCTCGTCGTTTGTGGCTTAGCGCCCATAAATCACCGCTTGAAAACGACACAGTCGCTGTCGTCGTCTAGCTCCTACTTATACGCGTCTTCTTCCTTCTGTGTACTGGTTATATAGTTTTTCTCTTCCCGTATAGTCGAAGCGCACTCGTGAGGCCCTAACTGGCGCATGAATAAAAAATTAGATGGATCGCGATACGCGAGAGACAATAAACGAAAATAACTCGATGGCGAAATGATCGTCGGGCGATGACGGGTTAGGAGGGGAAAAAAACAATGCTGTACACAACATAGTTATAATAGTCAAGCTGTGACGGGCGGAAAATGTACGTGTGGAGGGGGAAAGGTACGCATATATAGGTGTCAATCAAAGAGCCATGAGATATTTTCTGCCTTTATCCGTTGAACCGCTGCGGAACAAAGAAATCAAGTTGTTCCTTTCGTAATCCGCTCGGTTGTTTTCGACCAAGTGAATCGAACAGCTTACAATAGAGGCAAGATCTTTGACATTGGCCTTTTTTTTTTTTTTTTTTTTTTTTTCGCGAGTGGCGCAAGGAGGTTCCCGACGCGGGGTCATTAGGCGCTATAGATGTAAATGTGCCAAATCGAGCCAGCCAACGGAGATTTATATGCGATGAGAAGTTACAATTGAAAAAGAAGAAAAAAAATACCCGAGCCAAACAAGGAAAAAGCGAGCACAAAATGAGACAAAGGCGAGTGTATTGGGTATTACCATCGGGATGCCAGCCAGCCGGCGTGAGTATGCTAATTACCCCAAGTTTCTGGCACGCGACTCTGTAGAGCAAAAAAAAAAAAAAAAAAAAAAAAAAAAAAAGAGGTGCGTTTTTTTTTTTTTTATCCCCGTACTTACGCAACCCGCGCCACTCTCGTTATAGAGCGGCCCCGTGGAGGCACCGAGAGGGGAATGCGCGCCCCCCAAAGTACACCGCTGCAGCCCGAATTGAATTCGACGAAACAATTAGTGGATTATTTTAACCAATGCACACGCTCGCAATGTTATAATATAATTGTATATTCTCGCATGGGCTATACCTATACGTACAATAAGAGGAACGGAGAAGACCAAGATAGCGCGTGCTTGTGCAAATCTTACGTGTTATGGCAAGTAAAACTTTGTCCCTCCCCCCCCTCCCCACAGTGGCGTATATACGTTACGTATACCTACTTCACTAGCGTGCATGCAATACTCGGTACCTACAACTACGAGTATGTAGTATAGCACACGATGAAGACGATGCCCGTATAGTTATTACGTATAACGCATACACGTCCGATCAGTATGGGGTATAACAATTGCATACGCCCCTCGTACGTCCATGTCACAACTCGATTTGTAAAAGCAACACAAATATATATATACATGTAGCCGAAAGCTCGCCCTCGCTGAAGCTGTAGGTATATATTATATATACGCCTATAGTACACGATGTATATATGTATATATGTATGATACGCCCGAGCGAGCGCACATCAATCGATTTCTCTGTATACTGTTGCGTTGTCTATATGTATAACATAATACCTGTACTGTACTACATTTTATGTAGGTTTACGTGGGAAGAGTTACTCAAGTATATGCTCGGAGCGCACCAGCAGCTGTGTTTGTATATACTTATAGGCAAGTATGTATACATAAGATCCCCTATATACTTGAAAGAAAAACGACGCGGACCACGAATATACATTTTTGCCTCGAATCGGCGAAAGTGCTGCGAACTCTTTTCACGGATTTCATCGGCTGCGTTGCACAAAGGGCGACGGTTATAATTATTATAATTATATATGCAATACACATTATTACATGCCCACTGCAACTACATGAATAAGTGCCGAATTGATGAATACATGTGTCGTGTATTCAATGATTGTCAATGAAGTTTTGTAACCGTATCGGGAGGTATAGTCATTGTATCGGTCAGTCGGTCAAAGAAATCTGTGCATACTGTACTACCAGAGAGGGTCTAGCAGCCACTGAGTGATCACTTGAGTACATGGTAAACCTAAATATTATTGTAATCTTCAAAGTTCGTCCATGTAAACTATACTCGTTTTTTATACTTCGCAGAGAGTAACAATACCAATCTCAAATGCAGATAGGGATTTCTCTGAATAATAAATATACACATAGTAATGTAGTATAACATCAGCGTGAGATCGTATATCTCGCAGTCGCGAACAAGAGAAAATAAAACAAATACGCCGTGATAGGTGTATATTCGAGTTTTTTTTGTTTTTTTTTTTTCATTGGTGGATGATGATAATAATTGTTATCGCACTTTTGTTCTCGAGTTACCGAGAAAGCCTGTCGACCAAAAGTGTAGTCATATAGGTACACTTATCTGATGTCATTGATACTCGCAGGCAAATATCCCTCTGACGCATTATTTTGGTGTGACGGAAGAAAAAAAAAAAAAAAAACTCTCAACACGATAAAATTACGTGTCCTAAATGCGACTCCGGTATACCGTAGAAAATATCGGCCCGATTTTTTTAGGTACATCACAACGGCGCATGGATATCTGTCGATCTGTGTAAAAGCCCATCGAGTCGGAAAAAATCTTTGTTGTATTACCCGTGCTCTATAGATTCTGCGGATAAAGGAAGAATCAATTTTGTCGAGCTCTCCGAGAACAAATAACCTTCCACGAGTTGTCGCGTTGGCAACGCATATCGGTATATATTATATACTTAATTCAAATTAATCAAGTTGCCACCCGGATAACGTAACCCCCTCGAAATCGAAAAAAAAGCGGGCATCGGATCAGCGACACGATTATGACGTATACTATGCGGGCGCTGTGTATACCTATAGTATATAAATGTGACAAGTAGGTATACATAGATGTAGGTACCCATCTCGGTGTGTGTACGTTGGTGTACCTATATAGTGTCGGGCGCCCGTTCTCCAGCATCATCGGCCGATTTCTCCCCCCACGGCGATCAATCGCACGAGCACAGCTTTCTCCTTTCCTCCCCTAATATATTTGTATACAGGTGGTGTAGGTGCCTACGTTATGACCCTACGGGCCGAGAGGGGCCCTCCACCCTGACCCGCCGCGTTACTCCGTTCGTCGAACCAGCTGTAGGTTACTTTTGCACCACCCCATTGTTCCGGGCTCGGCTTGCTATTCCTGGTACGGACCCAATACGTGATTGGGCATTGGGTGCAAGGAAGAAAAAAAAAAAAAAAAAAGGAAAAAAAAGGTGCACCCTTGCATCGGCAACGCTCACGCACACACGTGTGGCAGCTCCGGAGGCGCGCCTGGTGGGGGCAAAGCCAGTTGTTCCCCCCCGTCCGAGAGGAGAGGCCTTCTCTGTACACACACGACTACGTCGACTACTACAGCCACTTTACCACTACTTACAAACCATACACCAGACGCGCCTCGGTTGTCCTCTCTTTCTTTCTCTCCTTCGCTGTATACCTACACGTCCGTGTATATATGTGTATAAACCCTCGGTCGCCGTCGTCGTTGTCAGTCTCCGAGTGGGCGCTTCGTGTGTGCAGAGGCGGGTGGCCGCGGAGAGAGAGAGAGAAAGAACACACACACATATGCCTACACACCGCACGCGCGACTCCGGTTTGTGTTGTCAGTCAGTCGGTCGGTCCACCAGCCGTGAGCTCGCGCCTCGAACCCCTTTTTAATACCTACTTGGAGTTTCGATCGAGTATTTAGTGTGTGTGTGTGTGTACATATATGGATATTATAATAGTATATAATACCTGGGGTAGACGCTCAACACGGGGAGAGGAGCAGCTGCGCGACCCTATCTCCTCCCCCTACTCCTCGGTACACACAGAGTTGAGCGTCCGGTTTTTCTGCGGGCCCCGTCTGTCGCGCGGAGCGCTGCTCCGACAAACAGTCGCGCGTAGGCGTCCGCCACGCGCACAGCGTTACTCGGCTCAACTTTCATCATAACATCATACTCACTTTTTTACATCAGGATGTCGTACGAGTAGATAATTATTTGTACCCTTGTACTTTTATACTCATAATTATCTCGAGTGCGGTGCAGTATAGCAGCAGCGCCAAAAATCGTGTTTAAATGAGAGCCGCGCTCGCTGTTAACCATCAGCAGACGACGGCTCGTTGTTGTCGTTGTTGTTGTTGTTGTCGCGCTGTTGTTGCAGACGACGTGCACGTTGTTTTTGTTGTCGGTGCCGTTTGGAGGTAGTATTGGTTATATTAAAAGCCGTGTTATTTCACCTGGTGGTGCTGTAGTTAAAACAAAATAAATAAAGTAGATAGTGTTTGAGCAATCGTTTCGAGATGCCCAGCCAGACAACGACGATTTTGTTGCGCTGCTCGATGGTGGACGTACCGGTACCCAACCACGTGAACTTCAAGACTCTATACAGCGTGAGTTGTACATATTATATTTAGTAATTTTCACAACCGCTCTCATTCACTATTTCCAGCTCAATTTTATCGCGACCGTTTATTTTGTCATTATTCTTTTCACCTACATATAGTATGATGATTCCTCGTGGATGTATGCATATAAAATTCGGTTAACGAATGTTCTTTTCTATTTTCGTCTTTCAAAATTTGTTTGATCTCCGTAAACGCATCGTTTACCACAAATTGATTCTTTCGTTCGTTCGTTCGTTCGTTCTAATAGAACTGCACTAAGTATTGTCGGTATTAAATGTATTTTCCAATAAATATTGAAAGTATAGATGATGTACAAGGGTATCGCAATCTAACGTATTTCTTTGTCCATTACCCCTCTATGTGTATGTCATAAGCTACACTGGCGATTTGGCGAGCAACAAGTACTCACCTATATACACACACCCACTTTACAGTACACATGAGATTAAATTTTTTTTTCTTCTCAATGAATAAAGGCTTCTTAGGTGCAGTATACTCGTACAAATATGACGTGACCCAATATTACTAGGTACGTCTAAGTACATACACACACACGTGCACGAAGAAATGCTCATACCGTGATGATTACGTAAGAAGACGATTGAATAAGAGACAGTGTGTGAGTAGGCATACGTAGGCATGATACCTGGGCATGAATTAATTTGCACGAGCTGATTATCTGAGCAATTTTACATGTATGTATTCGAAACCGAGCCGCGCGCATATATTTACAAGATCAGTGATTTTAATTTATAAGTATATATTAAGTATACACGTATAATCCGAAAGATATTTGTCTTTACCATCCATAATTTGTACATTAGGCCTGTGAATTAATTCTACTCCTATTCAGTACGTCTACTCACTAGAGAGTGCCACACGCGCCCCTCATTCGCTTTGCTTTATTTCATTCACGTTACATCAAATTACAATTGATTAATATTATTAATGCTTTGTTCATGCGTACCTTTCCATTATAGTTGTTGTTAATTTTTTTTGCAAATCTAAGTCTAACGTATATGAATATCTAGTTTGCGGCGCGTCCGGGGCCGCGAAAAAAATTTTTATCGTAAACCTAATTAATTCCACTCTTTTTGTCATATTTTCGCGCTGCGTCCGGGGGCCGCAAAAATTTTAGAAATCTGAATTTTTTTACGTATTTTTACAATAGTCTATCTCCACAAGGGGGTGGGTTAATTGTCAGAATAAATGTTGGTTGCGCAGTAATCACTTATTTCATATTTTCTTTTTGTATGATTTGTTGCTCACTCGCGGCTCATCCAAGGGCCGCGAATTCATGAAAACTAACGTTTGTCGCTATATATAAATATATATATTATACACGTATGTTTCTGTTTATCCTGTCTTCCTATACAATATACTATGTCGGTATACTAGCTTTATTTTTCTTATATCCCGTATTTCTTCTGTCATTATTATTATTAATATTACTATCATTATTATTGATATTATTAATATTGATATAACTATCGTCGTTGTATTCTCTTCAGTCGATAGCTTACCGTTGCTTTAAGAATCCAGCGGGGGTNAAAGAGCGTAAGTAAACATTTGCCGCGTGCGTGATAAAGATACCAATACACCTATACATATATATATATATTGTATTCAACGTCGCACACGTGATATGCGGTGAGCTATTGATTTTACCTACGGTTGTAGTGGTTTTAATAATAAATCCGAAAAGCGCAAGAGCTTTGAAAGTCCGCGCGGAATAATGGCAAGAGCAATAAACGGTGTCGATTGTTAAAGGCGAGAGTAAGTGTATGGGCTTATTTTTAGAGCCTCTGTGCTCTTACCTCTCCATCTCATCTGCCTCTCGAACGTATAATATAAAATATACGCTAGTAAACTCAGGAAATTTCGTCCGCGATGGAAAAAAAAAAAAGAAACAAAAACTTATTTTTTCAAGTAGGTACGACTAATAGACGCATAGTGAATACTATATTATTTCCACCAAGCTCGCCGAGAAAGAGAGAGAGAGAAAAAAAGAGGCGTCTATACCTGCGTGAGCAGAACAACAAAGAGGAGTGCGATCGCGGGGCGAGCTTGTGCGGTGACGTATAGATGTATATATACACGAGACCTTTTCTTCTTCTTCTTCCTCTTTCCCTTCTTTTTTTTTTTTTCATTCTAAAATTCCGTCGTATACGGGCAGGAAAGAGATGGCCCTCCACAGCTAGAAAGGAGCTCCTTTGGGTCCGTTGTGTCCAATCTGTACCCCCAGAGCCAACTGCACACGTACTTTTATATTATGATTATGGGTGTAGAAGAGCGACGGGCGTAGCATTAATATAGAGAAGAGCCGAGAGAGCGAGCCAAAGGAAAAAAGAGAAGCGAGTTCAAGGCCCTGCTGGTGCTCTTGAAAAGAATAAATTGAGAGCCGGGGCGCAGGCTGCTGCTGCTCATGCTTGTTTGTGTGCGTGCGTGGATAGATGCAGCTGGACCAAGTGCATCCGTGCACCGTCGCACCACCGTTGCCTTGACGGGAGACGTAAGTAATGTTTCGAGCACCAGCCGAGCAAATGAGTGTGGCTGTGACCACTATAACATACTACTCCCCCTGCCAGGTATACTTATACTGTAGGTGGACGGGAGAGAGAAAGATGTGCGTTTTCTCGGAAGGCTTTTGCGCGCACAGCGGCTATTGTGTCCTCCTCCGTGCCCAACTTATACCTACATTAGAAATGTAATTGCCATCGCGTATAGAACAAGTGCCAAGGACTCCCGCGTTCGCTCGTGCCGTCTATGTTGAAGATGCAAGCCTCTGCTCGTTTTCCTCTCCGATGCCAGCTCTTCCATTACCTATCAGTCCGAATAGAGCGAGGCCGGGTAATTTCGCTATACTCGCGGACCGCTGTCGATTTATTACGCGTCTCAATTTTTCGTCTTTCTCCTCCACCTCTCGTCTTGCGGCACGCGACAGTCTAGACATCAGTTTAGATAAAGCTCATCAGCACTTCAGTCTCATTATGCACCCAACGGTGTATAATCCTGCGATAAGATGCCTTCAAATGTACCGATCCACGTGTACCTATTATACAACCATTTTCGAGCATCAAGTTTTTTTTCGTGTTTCCTCGCCTATATCTTAATTGAGCCACGTTATTTTTAATACGCGTCAATTGTATTGTTTGCTTTTGTCATCAGTGATACCCATTGTGTTGACCAAAGTATTGAACGATAAGAGGCCTCGCGAGATAAGATTTCCAATCAAAGCCGCCAGTGGCACCGTTAGCTCAAAGCTATACGAGATAACAGAATTTGAATTTCAAATGGTAGTAATTTGTTTAGAGGGCCACGTGTATGTATGTATACACATTGTAGTATGGGCACTCTCGAAGAAATAATGAAAAGAAAATGATACCATCAACTCACTCTCTCTCTCTCTCCTTGACAAAACAGCTGTGCGAGTCGTATTTATGTGTATACCTACATAATTGATACATCGTTGTACCATTTACGGCGGACAGATAGGTACCAGTTTCAAGATACCTACATATATATATTATACAGTCGAGTGTGCGCTGAGACGGACGGAGTGGCTTTTGAAACTACTCGTGCGTTTCTCGAGTGTCCGATCAGCAGTGCGGATCATCCGCACGTGGCATGAGCACCTATATACATACCTTTTTTTTTTTTTATATTCATCATCGCCCCTTAAGGGCTCAGACACGGCTATTTTGACACTATAAAGTGTATTTAGCCATACGTTGGGTTTAATAACAGTAGGGGGAAACGGTAGATAGATCGGTAGGTTTATTGAAGTACAACTCCCATCCAGAAAAAAACCTCATTCAATGATGAAATTTTTGTCCAGAGTGGGATTTGAACCCCGGCCATCAAGATCTGTAGGCAGACACGCTACCGACAGAGCCATCATGTGGCACATATATACATACCTACTCGCTGTTTCGCGAATGGAAAAATCAACGGTGTACGGATAGGATCAAAAAGAGTTGTAGCGGGACAAAAGAGATGCAATGGGTATATATATACTTGTGTCCCACGACGGTACACTGCCGAGGTGGAGGAAGAGGGTGCATATAATATATATTATCATCTATGCTGTTTGGAGAAAAAAAAAAAAAAAAAAAAAAAAGAGAGAGAGCCAGTGCTAATGATATAAGAATAATTCACTAGAATAGTTATGTGGGCGTCGCCCTTGATCGAAGCGAGTGGGAACTCGAGAGAAGCTGCAGGTATAGGCGGATGGATTCGTCACCGGGACCCAGCACACATGGAAAATTCATTGCGTGGATAGACGAGGCGACAGTTACTCGATGCATGCACATCTCCTCCTCGTATGGCGTTGCGTACCGTATNAAAAAAAAAAAAAAAAAAAGAGAGAGAGCCAGTGCGTATGGAAGAAGAATAATACACTAGCATAGTTATGCGGGCGTCGCGATTGATCGAAGCGAGTGGGAACTCGAGAGAAGCTGCAGGTATAGGCGGATGGATTCGTCACCGGGACCCAGCACACATGGAAAATTCATTGCGTGGATAGACGAGGCGACAGTTACTCGATGCATGCACATCTCCTCCTCGTATGGCGTTGCGTACCGTATATATAAATATATGTATATAGCGTTAGCCTCGTCGGAGAGAGCATTTAAAAACGCATACGTCTCGGGGCGAGGATGGCCGCTTTCGAGTCGCGTCAACTGCTACGGGAGAAAGACGACAGGGGGGGTCAAACGGCAGTGTCCAATGAATGTAATGTACTTCGTCGGCGACTAAGCTGTTGGCATTGCACCTCGTTTTCTCTCTGCTTTTCCCTAAAGCGCCCGCGCGCCCGATACCGACGAGTTTCTATTTTTCTATACAAGTGGCAGCAGAGACGTGACACTTTTCTCTCTCTCTCTCTCTTCCTTTCGACGCCCAAAGTTTCCCTTCTCGCGTACACACACCGAGCAGGGCAACGATACTGTTTGCCGAACTCTTGAAAGCTTGTGTACACGGCTCAC